AAGAAAAATGTTCAGCCTTACGCTTTGGAGATTTGTTATTGTCCCGGTAGGGTCAAGAATTTTCGCTTCTCCATATCGTCCAGACCGGCTCTGGGGTCCACCCAGTCTCCTATTCCATGGGTACCGGGCCTCTTTCCTCCGGGGTAAAGCGGCCGGGGCGTGAAGCTAGTGCCGAGGTCAAGAAAATATGGATCTATACATCTACTCCCCTATACGCTTTCAGGGCGTAATGCTTAATTACATAAGCACAGAGACAGCTTTACCTTTACCTGTGATTGCTCGTACAAAAATAAATGTGATCAGACATTAGTTACCCTGAAGCTTTCACTACTTCAGGCAGATGACGAGACCTGTCATTGTAGGAACAAACGTCGTTGCTCATCCAGCCCTGATATTCTGTCTGCGAGGTTAATCGGAGGCACCCATATTTAGTGTTCATCGTAGTTTAGTTCGTCAGTCAGACGTGTTTCTGCATATAATATAAGAGAAGATATGTTAATGTTTTAACAGAAAGTGCAGGTCTTTAACTGACAGTATTAAATCCTTTCAATGATTTATAAAATGTGTGCATCCATATTTTTTTTGTTAAGCCTGGGTCATTTGGTCTCAATTATCTTGTCATTTATAATTGCATTTTTCCTTCTTTTTTTTTTAAGAATTGTTTTCAGGCACTTTAGAATGAAATTAATTATTAGTGTTGCAATCATTGCAATATTAAAAGTGTTCCGAGAAGTTTTGACTTGATACTTTTGACTACTTACACACAGAACAACACAAACACAGAAAAAACGCAAACAGACATCCATTCCTCAAGTGGGATTCGAACAGACGATCCCAGTGTACGAGCGGGCGAAGACTGTTCATGCCTTAGACGGCGCGGTCAGTATGATCGGCCTGAGTTAGCGGCCATAAACAATGCATAAAGTGTGCACATACATAACCAATGCAGACGGGATCAATGAGGAGCAACAGGAGGAGGTCTGAAGGTAAATCCTGCGGCGATAACAGTAACTGCAGTACACTGAATGAAGCACAGTGCCANAAAAAAGGGGGGGGGGGGGGGAAAGGAGTTACCAACAATCACACATGAACCAGGAAACCTGTGGAGATTATTTCATTAATATTTTGAAGAGTCCTGGGCAAAACTGAAACGCGGAAAACGGCCATTCTAGGAATATCACATATTTAGGGCGGTATTAATATAATACAGATTTAATTCCATGAGGCTGTTCTGTGAGCCTCAGGAACAAGGTTCGTACATGACTCATGGGCACTTTATCCAGCAGCATGGCCGGAAAGCAATATGACGACAACAACAAAGATGATAATAATAATAATAAATGTAAGCACTTGAAGGTGTACGTGTAAACGCCGACGAATCAAACATGTTAGCAGTATCCATTGAAATCCGACATTTTGACGGTCTTGTGTTCTGGTTTATTGCAATAACATATTGAATCGTCAATCGTACCCTTCACAGTCTTCAGTTCTGTAAATTGCATTTCCATTTGTAGGTTTAAATTTATTTCATAACGAGTTTCTGCTTAGAATTATGGTTATTTGATCAGAATAATAATCAGTTGGTTCATGGCTTCCTGTTATTTGTGGAGGTTTTAAAGTAAAGTTTCGAGAAACTGTAGGCCCAGCAGCACTTTTGTAACACAAGTACTGACTGCCCTCTTATTTGAAGGAGCGAACTCCTGGACCAGAGTTCATTCTTGAGATGAGAATAAGCGCAGCTAGCGAATAAATTCCTCTCTCCTGCTGACAACGATCCCTGTCCTATACCAAATGAATGCAGCCCACAACTTCTATCCAGTCCATAATGTTATATTGCAGCGTCCTGTTGCACTGCATAGATCTCACTCTGCTTTGCTTTTATGCCGTCTGTGTGCAACGTCAGTTACTATTCGCTCTTCGTTTTTCTTTAGTGACACTACATGTTTCGCCCTAACCGGTCATATACCTGGAGGTGGCCGGTTAGCGCGAAACATGTAATGTGACCTAACCGGCCATACACCTGGAGGTGGCCATTTAGGCCGAAATATGTAATGTGACCTAACCGGCCATACACCTGGAGGTGGCCGGTTAGGGCGAAATATGTAATGTGCCCTAACCGGCCATACACCTGGAGGTGGCCATTTAGGCCGAAATATGAAATGTGACGTAACCGGCCATACACCTGGATAAGGCCATATAGGCCGAAATATGTAATGTGCCCTAACCGGTCATACACCTGGAGGTGGCCATTTAGGCCGAAATATGTAATGTGACCTAACCGGCCATACATCTGGAGGTGGCCGGTTAGGCCGAAACATGTAGTGTCAATAAAGAAAAACGAAGAGCTAATAGTAACCGACGTTGAACGTAGACAGCATAAAAGCAGAACGCAGTCGGTTGTATCCAGTTTATTAATTTCAGCTGACTCCATGGAGCTGAGCCCATCTTGAGAAGCCGTCAATCGCCCGGCCACTCAAGATTTTATCAATATTTTATGGAACCCCAAGGTTCATTGCCGTGTTCACAAGAGTGCTCCGCTGGTCCCTATACTGAGCCGGATAACTCTAGCCCATATGACTTCATCCAATCCAAGATCCATCGTAATATTATCCTCCACCTACATGTAGGTCTTCTTAGTGGCTTCTATCCTTCTTTCGCACCAGAATCTCATGCATTCCTCTTCTCCCCTATGGGTGCTACATGCTCTGTCCATCTCATTAACCTTGACTTGATTATTCTAATTATACGTGGCGAAGAATACAAGTTACGAAGCTCTTTATTGTGCAGTTTTCTCCAATCTCTTGTCACGTTATCCCTCTTCGGTCCAAATGTTCTCAAACGCCCTCGGTCAGTGTTGATCTTTTGATGTTGTGTATATCCTAATTTTTACGTTTTCAAACAGCAGACTAGATGACAAAAGTTTCTGCACTGTGTGACAGGCATCCCGGAATTCAGGCACATCCAGTTCATTACATATCAGTTTTAACATTCTTCGAGCTTGGCCTTGAACTACCAAAAGGCCTTTCCTTAACGTCTCGCGGCTAACATTTTGCCCCGCCTTTCTTTTCGCTTCCATGCGTGATACACACCTCGCCCATGTCATCCTGTATTTGAGAATGCAGGTACTATTTGGCGCACAATACAGATACACAATCTTATCGCGTCTTGTATGTTTTGCTCTCCTGTAGATTCTCATGAAAGTATGCATACGTAAAAATATTAGCATTTTTTACTACATTCTTTTGACGCATTCACGAATCCATATTTAGCATTAAAATACAATTCCAAATATTATTTTCCTGACAGATATTCTCGTCTGAACGCGGTGATATAATTCATTGTTACTAGCTCCACAGAAGGCGCCACTGAATGTTACAACTGCCCAAAAATCCAATAAATTACAGGTTCAGGTAGCTTGCAGTATAGGCTGCCCGAAATGTGAGCGTCCATCCTCTGTAGTCCTGCTGTGGTGTCTTCACGAAGGAGTCGCATCGGCATTTTGTTACTGCCACACCATCCTTATCAACGTCGTCTTCATTCTGTCCTCAGTTGGGTTCCATGAAGCTGCGGCATAGTGAGTTTTTGGGTTACGAGTGGAGAAAACGCTGCTGATACGGACCCTAGTTGTTAAATAGTGGATAAGCAGTCGCGGACAGCTGACATGGGGCAGTTCTCGAGCTTGGGAATCGGATGGAGGGCTCACAACTGGCTACCGTCTAGAAGTTGTATGTTAAGTCGGGATCTTTCACGAAGACGTCGGAATGGAACTACAGTAGAACTTTGTTATAACGTCATCAAAGGGACCTAAAAATAATGTCGTTATAAACGAATGTCGTTGTAACCGAAATGGGCACTTCCACAGTAGCCTTATGTTAGTCACGTAAAAATCTACCAAAAACCGAGTTAAAATGTTGCATTTTTTAGTGAAATACGTAGTTAAGTACAGACTAACGTAACATTAACGTGGAATTGCCCAAATGTTTAATATCAAAGACATATTACAGCGCTTTTCACTGACAATACACACCGCACTAATACTGTATATTAAAGGTAGGCCTACTCACCAAATTACAGTAGATTACATCAATTGTTGTGCCTTACTGTACCTAGATACGAGTACAGTAATCAGTTATCTTCATCTGTTTCCTGTTACTTGCCCAATACACACTTTCTAAATTACGTTCAATGTCCATATCAGAGAAATTCAGGAATGAAAATGACGTTACATACGAGGTTGATGCATTTGTGCATGTCGTACTAAGCAAGGTATAAAAACAGTTGCTTTATGAGGAATTAGTTCGTACCATTGAATATTTGACGCAATAGACAAGGTGTCGCAGAAACCGATGTTGCTATAACCAAGTTTTACTGTATTTCGTACGGTCTAAACGAAGTTAAAGGGCAACGTGAACCGAGTGTTAGAAGTTGGAGCCAGTTGAACGTTTCGTTTTACGTATTTTGTCAGATTTACGCAGTTATGCATTTCATGGGCCTTTTTATATAATCTAGCTGAATTATACTTTGTCATGTTATATTGTCAACCAAACACGCCGATCTCCGCGTACCTCGCTGCGCCATTGGCCTTTATTACGAAAGAAGTAAATATAAACTCAAAGATGAAGTTTCTCTCACAATTCCAGCATCTCTTCTCTGGCAAGTACACTTGTCTTTGCGCCCTAATAATAATTTGTCCACAAGTCATTGTTCTCTATGAAAAGTATCTTATTTTTCTTTTTCCTCCGGAACGAATGGGCGCGCCGCCATCAAGCTGTAGCAGCAGCTCGAATTATAATGAAGTGAACCTCGTTTAGCCCCTAACCCGCGCTGTTGCCAAATCACGTTTAGTCAGTGGAGTCTGACTGAATCTAGATGCTTTTCTTCCGATAAGGCCTTGCGCCACAAAGAATGGTTGTCAGCATTACGATCTTCTGTGTGCAGTCCTTAAGGCGGAGCATTGCTGCAGTGAGAAGTCGCATGTCACATTCTTCTTTATGTTGCAGGTGACAATAATAATTCGTGGTCGCAGCACGCCTTGCGCAGATGAGAAGACATACGAGGCTACTTCGGATGCTCCTCTGCCGGCCATGTTCATCGATGGTACCCAGCGGTCAGGGCCCGAAGAAGGTGTCACCCTGACTGTGCACGAACAGCAGCGGATCGAAATCTATGTGCGGTATATAGAAACGACGCTGATAGTGCGCCAGGCTGGCCGTTACCTGGCCTTTTCAGCTCGTATGCCAGAGGAACTCGTCAGCTTCGGCAGCGGTGTCGATGGAGATTTCGGTGACAGTAGTCTCCAGTTATGTGTGCGTGGGTGTCCGGCGTCTGAACGGCTTGATCCCATCGCCGAAAGAGGCCACAAGCTACCTTGGGACAAAGCCATGGAGCGCTGTCGTAGGTCTGATAGCAACGAAGTCACCAACAATCTTACCGACCATTATCTTGACTGGTGTGTGTTCGATGTCATGACGACAGGAGATGGAGCCGTAGCGAATGATTTCACAGCAGCTGCTCATTCAGCACAAGCTGATGTCTTCAGACTTGATCCGCAGTCGCTCAAGAATAAGACCACGTCATATAGAGAGCAGAATCCATATTCCTCCCATACGTCTTTCCCAGGATGTCCTAGTATATTAGTTGTGCTTCTTGTAGTAGCATTACAGTGGGCATGAGTTACTCCATAATGGTGTAATGCACCATGGGTTGAAAACTTAGTGCAACGTGTAGTGGGGAGCCGGGTATATCGTCACCAATCGAGATCACATGCGAAGCAAATGGAGGAGTTCAGTCAAAAAGAAAATAGAAAGCAGCCTTTCAAAATTGATAAAAGTGAGACATAAGCACATTTATCTATCCACCTTTTGGTAGCAAGAGAGGCAATGAAATTAAAAGTATATAAATGGTGCAAGTAGAACAAGAGTGGTATTCCACTGAAGGGCCCATTATTATTTGTTTTTCATATAATTGTAGTTCAAGAAAATAAATTATAATTACAGAAACTCTCCACCCTTCAAAATCTTAAAGATTAAATTGCTCATTCGCTCTCCAGCATGAAATTTCTGTCATAAAATGGAATTTCCTCCAGACATTCCCTAATTTGATTATAGAATGACCATGAGGATGACATGAGCATGTTTTACTGGCCCAGCATAAGGGAGATATCACCACTGTACAGAAACAGTGCCGCTACTGACGATTCCAAACCCTACAAAGTAACGTACGGCTTGTTTCTGCAACAACTGTGATCTCAGAGAAGAACAAACTGGATTGCCATCCTTGCTTTCAGTTCATGTAATGACTTTCTGAAAGACTAACGCATCTCATTTGACAGATATTTAAACTTACACATCTTAAATCATTCAGTCTCCGTGATAAACTTCCAGCTCATCTGCCTGCCATTTATATGAATGTATATGTACATGTTGTAAAACCAGTGCTTGATATGTGAAAAGAGACATACACAGATTCTGTCTTGTAGCAAATGGAATGTACCATTGATTGATTGGCGCTATGTCACATCCATGAGACTGTTTTATGCAAATGTGTATATATTTGTGGACCTGAGGTTCTCATTGTCAGCAGCTGATTGTGTATATTACTTGTCTGTGACGTGACGCATTGTAGGTTGGCAGAGGTGGCTAGCTACAAAAGTACACGGTGTCACATCACAGGAAAAAAGAAATCTTTGTATATAGGTATTCCTATCAAGATTCCCTCCTCCATTGGGATGTGTAGGTTGTTCCTATGCATTATCATACAGATGCATGATTTTCTGTCAGAAACACAGTCAGTTTTCTAGACAGTGCAGCTGTGCAATGAACTTGTGTGTTTTGGTCATCCACATTTGATGAGGAGCTGGGAGGGGAAGGGGTTCACTGTAGTTGAAGACAGTTTAAATTTGTGGAGTTTGACAGACACAGTCACAAATTAAGCACTGGATCAAATCATTCACAGCCCATTCATTCGCTAGGTATGTATATGCTGTAAATAATGGTATATCAAAGAAGTATTGCATTGTATTATTTGAATAGCTACATTAAAAATTATATACGGTGTATATGCATGCATGGTTGTTGCGGTGCCAGTTTATAGTGTTGTATAGCAGGAGATCGAAAGTTATTTTTTCAGTGCTTCCAGCCAGGTGATTTTGTGATTGCAAGAGATTCAGTAGATAGCATATGGACACTGGAATTCAGAGTTAGCTTTTCATCAAACATTTGGAATGTGTGTACTTGGGTTCATGAGTATATGTGTGTGCATGCTCGCGTGCGCAATATTACTGGAATACCTTCTGATTACTTCAAACCTACAGAAACATTTTCCTGTATAGGCAGTCTAACTTCCATTTTGTACTTTGTAAGTAGAGGAAGGTATTCTAATATAAATTGGACTGAAAGATATTTTTATATTATCCCAATCCAACTGTAAGATTCAGAGATATGATGGTACAGGAAGAGACAAATATTTGTACCATTTTATCCCACACTGCAGTATCTTCCGTGCAAAGCCATTACAACTCATGAAAAAGATGCTGGCACTGGTAAAATGTATTTCAGACTTCATCATCCATTTGGTCATTACTTCTGTAGAGGGGTTGTTTGTGCATAAGATGTCAATTGTACATCACACCATGCTGTAAAGACTGTTGAGATGGGCGATAGATGTCATGTTTTTGTGAGAATCGTTAAGACAAGCAACCAACACCTTATTTGCTGTATTACAACTATTGAGGTTTATGGTTTGAAATAACCTTTGTTATACAAAATTTTGCTAGTTAAGTATATTAACTATATCTTCTAAAAATAATATGGAGAGTGTGAGGGTTTAACAATTCTAGTAGCTAATGATAAATTTATAATTAAATTAAGAGCATTTATTAGTCAATAAATGCAAAAACTAGCTGTGCGGCCACTCACAACTCACAGCTTAATTCAGAACCAGAATCACGGACAACTATGTGAGCTAAAAGTATGATAATTTTGAGAGTATTATTCCTGCTTAAAGTTTAACCAAGGTACATATGTGTGCACTGTATTTGCAAGTTGTGACCATGAAAGGACGAAGTTCGCTTCAGTACTGGATAGTTATTTTACAAGTTTTGTAAAATAAATTGAAATCCCAAATTTAAAGATGTAGTTGATTTAAGCCAGTGGTTTTCAACGTTTATCAGACCGTAGCCCGGTAAATTCTTGTTTCTAAAAGATGAGGGCCTGGCGGTTGAGAAACACTGATTTGAACTTTACAATTGAAGATGACTTCAAAAATCTGTAATTGTGGGAAATTTGCATGTAAATATTTTAAATTGTATGCTTCCAGAAATGTGAAGGTCCACCTACCCCTGCTCTAAGAGAATCTGAGCTTGCAAATTCTTATAGTGTCTGAATAGAATAAAATTCACTTCAGATTGTTTATTTGTGAAACTGATTGATAAATCACAATGTATATGAATATAGTGGATGCAGAGATAAAACTGAAACCATTCTCAGATGTTAGGACAAAATGGAAATGATTTTGAGCATCATATTGGAGCCACCTCAGGTCTCTGATTCTTAATATATCAGTTGGGGTCAATGTCAGGGGATTAAACTTGAACCACTGTCTTACCACAGCTCACAGAATGAAACACCTACCCAAATTAAAGTGTATGTTGTCATGTCATGGCAAGAAAAAAAAGAATTTTGGACATAGGATTGGTACTATTACATTTGGCCGCACCGTTCAGACATTTCTCGGTTCTTAGTGTGAGAGGAAGAACCATCAGTAATTATACGGCAGAGCAACTCTTGTATTAATAATGTGCATAAAACTCTTGTGTACTATAGATAAGTGATATCAGCTAGGAAAAGACTTGACTTTTCCTTCATTGGTATTTACAGAGCTAAACACCGCAACTTATCATCAATATATGTAGAGCTCAAAGTTTCCCTTGTTGATAAAGGACAGCTTATCAGTTAATTTGAAGATGTAAGTTGGGTGTGTGATATGTGTATTCTTCTTGACATATCTGTGGGCATTTGAGTGACCTGTACAACAGTGTATCAGCCTTCCAAATGATTATCATTATTTCATTCTCAGCATTAAAAAAATAATACTTGTCATTTTCCAAACTATCAAAAAATATTTCGGCAATACAAGACTATTTTCTAACCCTTTTGAAGAACCATGAGCTGATGCTGAAGCTACTGTACTACACTAACTGACACGATGGACCTAGTTCTAAATTCAGAGAACTGTATTTCCTGTAACATTTGTAAATGTCTTCCTAAAGACAAAATATTTTAATCTGTGGCAGAGGGCAGCTTTTTTTGTAAGCTGAAAGTAGTTACATTTTTGTAAACAAGCTTTCTCTGAGAAGCTAAATAAATTTGCACAATAGGACTGGCTTTCAGATAAAAATCTCATGCCAGTCCTACTTACCAAGAGAATCACACCTGCCATAAATTGCTTGATGTGTCCAGTGCTGGCCCAACAGCCACATTAGTAAATTGTTATATTTTAATTGCTTATAAACATTGTAACGTTTTATTTACATTTTGTTTTCTAAAGCAAAGTTCTATAGAAGGAAAATTAAAAAAAAATTGGCTTTTCAACAGACACGGTTTCAGTGTTGGGTTACTATTTATAACAAACTCTAATTTGGCTATTCTTTGTGAAGTCCATACTTCTGCAGCCCACAGATGAAGGGCAGTTTTGAAATGTGGCCATTTGAAAAGAGGCTATGCATCACTAGATTAAAATATCAAGAATAATATTTGACCAACTAGAAACCAGATGCCATTAGTACATCAGACTGTTTTCTTTTCCCAGTGAAACACTCCAGTACTTTGGAGCTGTATCCTCATTAGACATACTGGTACTGAGAAGTCATTATTTCCATCACTGAAAAGCCCCAGTATTAAGCACATTATTTTTCTTACAGGATTTGAGGTTCTCACACGGTAGTTATGAAGAGTTCTGTTATCTGGGATATAATGCTGTGTAATTCATTGAAAGTCGACCTACATTTCAGAGGTGACATGTTCCTCTGAAACGTCAGTTGATTTTCGACATACTCAGCATTATGTCCCAGAAGAGAGAACTCACTGAAATGTCTAATTTCCTCAGAGATATCAAAGTATTCTTTCCTCAATAAAACACCCACAAATTATGTCATCACTGACCCTTGCTTGAAAACTCTAATAATGGGAACTTTTTTTTTTTCAAATTCATATCTTGTTGACTGTTTTCTCCTCACTGAAATATCCCATTATTTTCTCATTGAAATGCTGGGATGTACATTCTGTCACTTGAACTAGCAACTTTGGGAATTGCTGGTGTAGAAGTCACTACTTGAGCTGACTGGAGATTTTGTTAATTCCTTCAACACGTTACCTTTTTATGATTATATGACACAGAGTATGTTGGTCAGATTAAATGTTTCCCACACCTCTGCTGTAGCAGGGGATGATGCGGTATTTACAGCAAACAGTTCAGTGTCCTTTGCAACTCCTTTGAACAATTATTTTAACGTTAAGATGTAAGATTGAGATCATGTGCCGTTCCTTGTTTCCTTGTTAAAGAACTCAAAATGCACGGATGAATATGGCACTTTATTTGAATCAGTAATTGTTATGAACTTACTATTTGACCTTTCAGGAGATGAGGATCTGTTTACATTCTTAATAGTTTGCAAAAGGCTGATGAAATATCAGCTGTGTAGAAAAACACCGACCATGAAAAGGATGAGCCCACAGACTTTCCTAACGAATCCAGGAAACTGCAGGATTGGCTAGGGAGGTTACTTACCTATATGTGGTATGAAAAGTATGTACTGTATTACTTGATAACTTTACTCTGAAGAAAACTTGTATTTCTTTTTTTAAGAGGGCTGCTTATTTTCATAAATAAAAAGGGATTTAAATAGCAAAGAGACTGTGCAATATTGAAAGCCACTGTTCATGTTTACAGATGGAAGATCCTGAAGTGTCATTCAGTAGGACAAGTTCTCCCAAGGTTTGTTGTGTGCGTTCTGTTACTGATGTTAATTGTGTTTTCTGTAAGTGTGAACAAAGTGATTTTGTTGTAAAAATAGTTGTACATTTTATTTATGAAAAGAACATTGTGATGTATAGGAAATAATACGGTTGGTTAACCAAATACAAATATAATATGATATAAAGGGAGCGTTAGTTTTTTCATCATTTTGACAGTATTTTTGACAGGACGAAATAGCTGATGAGTCGACATGACACAAATTTGTATGTACGGTAAGTACCAAACCACTGTCAGTTAAGAGGGGAACCAGATGCAAAATTTATTCAGAATTATTTACATATTACAGGAGCTGCCAGTGTAGCGACAGGTTACAGATTAGGCGGCCAAGAGATTTTTCTCCACAGCATCCACATAAGATCTAGGGCACACCCAGCTTGCTACCCAATAGGTACTGGGACTTCTGTCTAGTGCAGTTGTTAAGAACAGTGGAGCTATATCCCCACTGTCCCATTAGACTTGTTGGCGTGGTTTGTAATTAAGTATAGGGACAACTTACAGTGGGGTGGATTCAAACTCTTGAGCAGTCTTCTAGACAATTTCTAGCTCCTCATTGGTAGCATACATTAAGAGACAAGGACTGGACAAGAACAGAGATGTTTTTATCTGGTATATTTATATCTTCATATAAATCTTCACATGGCTAGTTGCAGTGGATTGTTACTTACTAATCCTCAAGTAAAATATAAATATTGTATGGTTACTGTGTTTTAGGTCCATAGTTTCTGATTACCACATACAATCACGATTCTACACTAGTAGTGAATTAGCATGACTCCCACTTCGAAATTTCACACAGCTGCCACATTGGTACTGATGGTGGGAAATTGGCACAAAGTTGTGGTGCCCTTTAGTAGCACTTTGTTATACATTCGGGTTCCAGCAACTGAACATTGTGAGTTTGCGACGGAAGGCATGCGGCCGATCAGAATGGAAGCCCGTGCACTAGGACTGCCTGCAGAATATAATTCTTAAATCTTTGCCAGTTATCGATTAGTGTCCAAATTAATCGATTGATAAATTTGGCAGGCGTATTAATTTATTAATTAAGAACGAATATGTTACATAATATACAATAGTAATAAGAAGCTGGTTAAGAATTTGCTACGCATGTGTAAGGTCTGTCAGTGTTTGTTTTGTATGAGGATCGACTCACGCGTCCACCGACAGTGTCTGGTCAGAGAGTGACTGACCAGATGGAGGACTATCTCTTAGTGATGAAACAGGCAGTGAGCGTTATACCGTCGTCAGCTGAAGAAGAGGCATTAGGTACTTTTGACAAAATTTGAACATTCCTCTGGGTAGAGGTACCGCGCCTAGGTCATATTGTGGCGTGCCGCCTAGGGTCAGAGTACTGAATCAGATCGCATCCATTGCTATACAACGGCGAGCAAACCTAAGCAACAAATTGTTTGAAGCAGTTGCATGATAACGGCTAGGAAAACTCGTAGCAACGAGAGAATACGCTAGCTAACTAGTTAAGTTCCCCGCTAACAAAAAAAAAAAAAAGCCAGCTACCGGCGGATAGAACGCGTGAAACGGAACCCTTGAACAAGGTGTCTTCTAGCCATTCCGACGGTAGGGTATAAGAGAAGATCAGGTCGGAATTCAGACCAGATTACGAGCAGAGATACAAAGTGATAAAAAAAAATCACAGATATACAGAGAAGACGCTCCATCGAAAATAGCGATGCGAGAGTGTATAACATGGAAGAGGAAACGTCCGAGGACGTTATAAGTGTGAATAAATGTATTTGTGAGTGTAAAGAGTAATCGGCCAGTAAATATTTGTCCAAACCCGAAACCCACGTAAATCTTGCCGCGTTGCCCAGGAAACACGTGACAATATTACTATAAATTTACGTCTTTCCACAAAATTTTAAGTTACTGATATTAGGTATTTTAGACGAAGTTTTTATTTTAACAATACTCGTTGAAGTTTCTTTGATTCTGTGTTAGTTACTGTAACAGACGACAATATTCGAAGTTCCCATCATGAACACGGAAAGTAAGTCTGTAAATATAACTTGAATTGATTTAGAAATATAATTGGCGGTGAAATTAACCTAGTACGTGAACTGTCAGAGGTTGCACTAGTAGAGATCAGTTAAGAAATGAGGCTGTACGAAATGAATTGGCTACCTTCCCTTTATTTCAAACAGTTAACAGAATATAGAAATAAATGTAAAATACATTAGCAACCACTTCAAGCATAGGAATATCGTCCGTCTTAATAGACGAGATGTAACAGTGCTAGATGTCAGAGCAGACGAATCAATTCATTAAGCGATGATGAAATCTAACGGTTTAATGGAATGCTGCACATAAACGGCAGCAGGTAAAGGGAAAATTGTATTGCTTCAATTTAATGTTAGTGTAAGGTTACTTTCCTTAACCCTTTAAAGCTCAGTGGTTACTATATGTACCACCTGCTTTAACATACTAAACTGCATTCTGTCCACGCAGTGTATATGTGTGTTCTGTATGGTTCTCACAATAAACACCGACTCTTTCCCTAAACAGCATTAACCGGTCGGCAACGGTGATGTAATGCGTTTCCTGTGAGGTAAGAAATGAATTCTTATATATTATTTAGAAGAGATTCAGTCCTTAAAGGGTTAAGGAGGCTTCAGCATGATAGGCATTTAAGGAAAATTAAGCAGAGCAACCACAAACCAAATATACAGACAGCAGCCTCGTGATTGGGTCAAAGTGTCCCTTTTTACTGTACAAATGGGGAGAATGAAAAACAGCAAGAACTGGTAGAGTGGGGATGGTTCATCCCTCCGATTCGCACACGCATTTTCATTTCAAGGCAATTGCGGGCAGTGCAATTTGAAGCGAGGGCGAAATAAGCAGGAATGATGAACCTGACAAAGAAAGGGCAATCAATAACAGAAGGAACGGCCCGGTAATCGCGACGTGCAGCAGTCTACACGGTAGCTGCCTGCTAACTCTTCTAACAGACAACATGGGACATAACTGTACAGTTATACGTATTTTCCAAACGTGTTTCTTTGCGTTTTGCATGTACATATAAACATACATATATTACCAATATAAGCACTAAAACATTTAGAATCATACTGCATAAGAGTTAGAATTTAATTTCCCTTCTGTTGCATTAAATATTTACCATATATTGAAAAAATCATAATAGAAGATTTAGATCTCGTTCATTTATTTTATTTGACGGAATACATTTTATGCAGTAAAACTTTTTTTCCAGAAGGTATGAAAAAAGGTTCTATTTGGGCGTCATGCAGTGTTATGCTGGATCTATTCAAACCAGAGCTGAATTCGTCTTGACAACTGTTGCTGCAAATCCACTGAAGTCTGTTACGTAATATCGGAGATTAATCTTGCGGAAGGACAGATAGCCGTTCCCATTCTGCGATTAATTCTGTGTACATGGTACAAGGAACACAAAATATAAACTGCATCGCTCCATAGAATGTACGTAAGAGCAGCTTGGGTCCCCACGCTGTTCACCTGTGTACTCTATGGAAGTAGTCGGTTCCACAGCCCGAAGAAAGAAAAGTGCTTCTTGCAATGGATTTGCTGATCCCAACTCCATTCTCAGTATGGCAGTGAGAATTTATTTTATTTAATGATGCTGTCAGTAAGTTCGTGCCAACTTTTGCGGATAGAGGGTGTCACATGGTCAGCGCAACGCATCCCCATGGCCCTTAATTTCGGTTTTCTAGATCGGAGCCGCTGTTTCCTTTAAATAACTCCTGAATTATCCTCACGAGGCTGAGTGGACCCCGTTCCAGACCCACTATTCAGAAAATTTACCGACAAGCGTCGGTCGCTCTGTCGGTATAGTTCGCTTGCGGACAACAGGTCACGGAGCCAGTAATTTAGGCTATTGAACGTCGAATGAATAATGGATTGGAAATGTTGAAGGAAACGGTCGTGGCCTAAATTAAGTCTCTATCCCTCATGTGCCTGAGCGGCTCAGCATCTACTTCAGGGTAGTCGGTGTTCCGGCGGAAATGTGAACCGGACACCTCCCGAAGAGAATTCGGAAGCGTTACCGCTTGAGCTAACTTGCTCGGTGATGAGATACAGTTCGAAGGTTCCTGCCGGCAATCGAATCCTAGTCATTCGCAGCCTTTTCCTCGTGAAGTAACCACTTACTCATGGAGCTGAGCCCTTCTGGAGGAGCTGCCAATTCTGCAGCTACTCAAGAATTTCCCAGCATTTTATGGAACTCGAAGGTTCATTACCGTGTTCACAAGAGCCCTCCACTGGTCCCTATCCTGAGCCAGATCAATCCAATCCATACCATCCCATCCAGTCTCTCTAAGATCCATTTTAATATTGTCCACCCACCTACGGCTTGGTCTTCCCATTGGTCTCTTTCCTTCTGGCTTTCCCACCAATATCCTATACACATTCCTCGTCTCCCAGATTCGTGCTACATGCCCTGCCCACCTCATCCTCATTGACCTGATCATTCTAATTATATTTGGAGAAGAGTACAAGTTATGAAGCTCCTCATTTTCTCCAACTTCCTGTCACTTCATCTCTCTTCGGTCCAAATATTCTCCTCAACACCCTGTTCTCAAACATCCTCAGTCTATGTTCATCCCTTAATGTCAGAGACCAAGTTTCACACCCAGACAGAACCACAGGCAAAACTATAGTTTTGTATATTCTAATTTTTATGTTTTTGGACAGCAGACGAGAAGACAAAAGGTTCTAGACTGAATGGTAGCAAGCATTACCCGAGTGCAATGTCCTCTTAATTTCCTCCTGAATCAGGTTTCGATCTGTTATCGTTGTTCCCAAATATCTGAACTGTGCCATATTTCAAAACATCTGATTCCTATCTTTATGTCAAGATTTTGCCCTACATTTTGGTGATGCGACAGTAACATATACTTAGTTTTCTCTGTGTTTACTTCTAGACCAACCTCTTTACTTGCGTCAATTAAAGTTTGTGTTTTTCTTTATGGTATCTAGATTATCACCCAGTAGATTCACATCATCGGCGTAGGCGCGAAGTAACCACAGGAGCATTAAATATACTTGCCCTCCATAGGACTGTTTCTATCAGACACTGCAGTTTATTTCTCTTAATCTCCTTAAAGCCGGTCACGGTAGCCGAGTGGCCTAAGGAATATACTGTCTTCGCT